ATATGCAATTACTATATATATATATATAATATCATATATAGTGTCAGATATATATAATTATATACTTATGCGACATTGTGAGTTAATTTATAAACAATATCCTCATAAATTTCTGGACATTCTTTAAAATCCCTTATTTCCATTGAACATTGAATAAGTTACAGAGACTCAATATCTTCTCACTTAAAATTTAAGAAGATTTAAAAGACGAATCTTCGCCAATCCATAGTTCCATTGCTTTTTGTCTGTACTCTTAGAACAGTTGAAGTTTCTTAAGATTTTTTATCCTCGCTAAGAATTTGATTTCCTACAGCCAAGCTTGAATTTTTCTATACCTTTGAAAGAGTTCAATGCTTTCTTGCAGTGCTAATGATGGACAAGTTCAAAAGTTCTTTAAGATATCCCGGATAATCCTCAGCCGTATTATCCGATCCCGGTTGGAGAAGAGTCTATATGCAAAATATATTTTCATTTCTAACTTTTCTCGATCGTCCCGATAGCCCACACCCCTGATCACCCAATCCCAGTGAATATAGAAAAATATGTCTTCATTTCCAAGTTCTTAGGGTCATCCAGGATAATTCGCACTTCCGATTATCCGAACCCAGTTAATGCATTTTTTTTGTCGTCGCGGATAATCTGTAGGCTGATTATTCGATCCCGGTGAATAAAAAGTCGACTATATTCAAAAGATATTTTCCTTTCTAACATTTTTTGATGATCCCAGATGCGATCCACACACCGGACACATAATTCCAGTTAATATAGAGTCTAAACTAAACTTAGTGGAGCGACTGCCCATAGAGGGCCAAGGCCTACTGTGCCTTCTCAGTTTTCTTGATCTTGGGCTCTGGGATGCAGGAGCAGATGTTCCGGTTAGGTGGTCAGCCGAACGCGAAACCCTCAGTGCTTAGTTCCCAATCATGCTTGGTACTCATTTATCGACCCACCATAGGGATGGAAGGCTGAGTCAACCTTGCCCGGCCCGAGGATAGTGAACTAGCTAATCATACGATAGAAATGATCCTATGAAATATAGAGTCTACTGTATAAAAAAGCTATCTTCATTACTAAATTTTGAGTCGTCTCGCTTAATCCGTAATCCGCATCATCCGTTTGCGGTTAATGAAGTACAAAAAATGCATCTTCATTTCCAGCATTTCATGTTATTAATCTTAATCATTCGTAAATAAATTAAGTAAGAATTGTGAACATTTTCAGGGTCTGCCTTTTGCAGCATTATCAATTTTATCTGCTCGATGGTTCCCGAAGCCGGAAAAAGGTTTTCTTTCTACATTCATTTTCACCGGCTATCCTGTGGGAAATTTTCTAGGCAGTGTGATATCTGGACCAGTTTGCGCACTGAAGTTGGATAATGGTTGGCCATGGGCTTTCTACATAATGGGTACTCATTTTTAATTAAATACATATTTTGTTTGGTGTTCATATACTTAAACAAATCTTACAACTATCATTTTTTGCGGAAAAATCTAACAGCTAATCTTTGTTAAACTAAAAATTTACGAGGTGTTCCGTTTTGGCCACTCTTACTTTCTTCAGAATCCTTTTCAATATTAAAGTAAAATCCCTGGCGAAATAAATTTTTAATGTTTAAATCAGAAAATAAAACACTGCTTTAAAAATGTAATCAATCAATACAAAGGAGGTAAATGTTCCAAAATTTCGTGAGCAACGGCATAATTGTGGCAATGTGGTCAGTCTTTAATTCCCAGACAAGCTGTTTCAAGCTGAAGTTGGGTGGGCCTCAAGCTGCCTCTAGGTTTCGAACCCTAGCTCTTCGCAATGTAATGTTCAGTAAGCCGTGGTGACGCAGGGTTTAGAACGTATGCCTTCCAATGAGGTGAACCGGGTTTGAATTCCAACGTTGGATGGTCGATACGAATCCCACCCTGAGCTCTCACCGATTACAGTGCTCACGTGATATATCCTTAGTGGTAGACGGCTCATGAATTAGAGTTCCCTTCCTGTCAGACTAACCGTGGATGGTTTTCCTCTCCATATAACGCACATGCTAGTTAGTTCCATCAAAAAGTCCTGCACAAAGGTAAAATTTCTACGAATACTTGATCCTGAAGTATCCTTGTCTTCTGATAGGGTTTAAAATTTCAAAGATGGCGAATTGATTATTGGTAGTCGTAAACTCATAACTGGATCTGTTGTTCGACGATGATTATAAAATAAAATAAAATGACAGTTCGGTGCCTTAACCCCTGAGCTTTCGCAGGTCAGCCTAATTGATAATTTCAAAACTAGTTTAATTTCAAACGGAAAAAGAAAGGCAGTGAAAGGTAGATTTTAGAAACACTTCAAAATTTCATTATGCAGTCAAATTGATCTTAAGAATTTTCACTCGTGATTCGACAAATGCTAGTGATTCGACTAGTGATTCGACGAATTGCTAGAGCGTTTGTATTATTTTCTTTCTAAAATACTAAATTGTGACCCCAAATGCGAGTTATTTTTTACTTCCTTTTTTAAAAGTATTATATCTAAAGAGTGGTCATTACGTTACATTCTGTATATATTAAAACTTTTGCTCATGCTCTCGTAAAAAAAAAGTATCTTTGTTTTTGAAATAACATTATAATTTTGAAGTAGAGATGTTTTTCTTCCAGTTGCTTCACCGTTCTTTTGATATTTATGTAACTTACTAGTAAAAAATAAAGCTTTGCAGTTTGCATGAAAATAAATTCAAAATATCATTTAAGTCAAGTAGGGTATATTTTCAAAATTTCATCATGCTATGACAGTTTATGAAAATTTCAGAATAGGCCGAATGCTTTTATAGAGTATTCTAAATTCCTCTTTGAAAATTGAAAGATAGTTAACGTTTTTGATTCTTGATATGCAATTTTAAAATATTAATATTTAATATTAATATTTAATATTTAATATTTAATATTTAATATTTAATATTTAATATTTAATATTTAATATTTAATATTTAATATTTAATATTTAATATTTAATATTTAATATTTAATATTTAATATTTAATATTTAATATTTAATATTTAATATTTAATATTTAATATTTAATATTTAATATTTAATATTTAATATTTAATATTTAATATTTAATATTTAATATTTAATATTTAATATTTAATATTTAATATTTAATATTTAATATTTAATATTTAATATTTAATATTTAATATTTAATATTTAATATTTAATATTTAATATTTAATATTTAATATTTAATATTTAATATTTAATATTTAATATTTAATATTTAATATTTAATATTTAATATTTAATATTTAATATTTAATATTTAATATTTAATATTTAATATTTAATATTTAATATTTAATATTTAATATTTAATATTTAATATTTAATATTTAATATTTAATATTTAATTATTAATANTTAATATTAATATTTAATATTAATATTTAATATTAATATTTAATATTAATATTTAATATTAATATTTAATATTAATATTTAATATTAATATTTAATATTAATATTAATATTTAATATTAATATTCAATATAAATAGAGACTGAAATATATATTGCACTGTAAAAATATTTTTAAATACCTTACAAATGCTGTAATATTATTACAGCATTTACAAATGCTGTAATATTATTACAGCATTTGTACATAAGAAAATAATGTTTATAAAAATCTTAGTAATAATATGCTAAATTTTGTATAAAATTATTTCTAACTGTAGAATGTTTTGGATCATTATTTTTAAATATTGATAGCTATATGACCTTTTATTTTATTTTTAATATTGATCAACAAATTGATTAATTTTAATAAAAGTTCCCTGCATTTTTGAAGGTAATTTTTTTTAAAATTGAGGTAGATATTATAATGATAAAGGAGAGTATGAAATATTTTTTGGTAAATAGTGTTGCAATTTTTTTTTATTCAAATGAAAATGGAAAGATAATATATATACAGATATTAGAGATATAGATTTATACATTATTTCTACTCAAAGCAGTTCTTTAAACTTAATCAAATTTCTTTCCAAATTATATGTTAATAGGTTAGTTTATAATAAGTTGGAACGTAGTTAAAATAATGGTTATATATCTGAGGTATAATGTGTAATTTCATAAGTTGGCATGGTTATTTATACATAATTATGATTTACTTTTTTATTTCAGGTTTCTTTGGAATTTTCGTTAGCATTCTCATCATGATTTTCTATGTTGAATATCCAAGAGATGATCCCAACATTTCAGAAAATGAACTGAAATATATATTAGAAAACATAAGTTCAACAGATGAAGCTGAAGTAAATATAATAATAACTTAAATCACTACAGAAGAATAATACTAGAAGAAAGACAAAAGTAAAGGAATAACATTATAAGATATGTTTCGCTTTTAATAATTACTTTAATTGCAAAATGCTATGCTTAAATCACAAGATACTCACTACCTAAACTCGACTGTTAATTCTGTCCTCCAGAGTCAGTTAGGCCATCCAGAGTAACTTAGACAATATTTGAGCGATATAAGTTGTTAGCACATCCCGTATTACAGCATGACAAATATTGAGCCGTGGTGGCTCAGAGGATAGAGCGTTCACCTTCCACAGAGGTGACCCGGTTTGAATCTCATCGGTGGCTGAACTACACGAACACAGCACCCGGCTAGAACCGACTACAGTGCTGACGCAAAAATATCCATAGCGGCAGACTGATCATGCTTAGAGTTCCCTTGTCGCTTAACAATATCATTGTAATGAAGAAAATTGGAACATTGGGGTGATGTAAGGTTAGTGAATCTAAAAGGTGGCTCGAGCTCATTTTTTTTCTTTGCTTGAATTGAAATTCGCTCTTTTCCCAATGCGTTTTGAACTTACACTGTGTAACAGTGCGTTCAAATGTTCTGCAAAAAAGAAACAAGAATAAGCTATATTCTCCTTATAGTGTAAAATATTACTTATTACAAATTTAAGGACGGCACAAATAGTATATTTTAAATTACTTATTGCATTTAAATACTTAATTAAGTCATAAGTAAAGATATAATTTTCATTTCTTTCAGTCTTTCTTTTCCTTTTTTTATTTTTTAGTCTTTATTTTCATTTATTCAAATTTTTTTTCATTTCGATTAACTGTTCTCCGTACTGTAAAAAAATTGTCAAATATCAATGGAACGAATCACGATTTTAGAATTTTTCACTCAGGAAAAAAAAACGTACCTAATATCACTTGACACTGAAAATTAAGCTATTGATTGTGATCAACACTCGATTGGTAAGTCTTGCAACAATTAAACAATTTTTCCAGTTGAACTAGTACCATAACATACAGTATTATTTAATTTTAATTACCATTAACATTACGTTCAATTTAGGTTCCAGTAAACGCGTTTCAAAAGCGTAACTATAAACAAAATAGGCCTATGCTAATCTAGACAGTTTTCTATATATACTAAGACTACATACATTAATAATATTTTTATGTACTTATAACGAGGCTATATATACTATACTATACTTTACTATACTATACTATACTATACTATACTATACTATGCAGAATAATTCTCTATATACTGATGCTATAGGAAAATATTAATCTAGACAGTTTTCAAAATATTGATTCTATGACATCACCTGCACGTGCTTCAATCACACTTTGATCTTAATCCTGTTTACGAGACATAAAAAGTTGGAGATAAATATTTTACTAAAGAGCGTGCAATAATCTTGTTCTTTTTTTAAAAAAGAAAATAGGGTTTTATTGTAAGCTATTAAATCTTTCGACGCAGAATTCTTATTAAACCTATTTTTCATTTTTTTTCATTTTGTATTAATTTAGTTCAAAATAGGTTTAAAATATTACATTTAGAATTTTATTAAGTTATAATTATGATACACAGCATTAAACACCGTTATTCTTCTTTGCTTTAAAAGTAAAATCTTCCAAACACGGCTCACTTCCAAACAATTTTTTTTTCTTCAAATTTTCACTCATTTGCTGTTATTTATTTAAATCTAAGAGAAACAGTTATTCATCATTCCAACATCAACAGTTATTCATATTTCTTTAATTTACTAACTCAACTACTGATAAACTAAATACACAAGTCGGCGACCTTTGTGCTAAACTACAAACTAAGGTAAACAACGTTTAAGGGCACAAAAAATATTTATAAATGCAGACAGCTGTTTCGGCCGCATTGGCAATCAATTTGGTATATACCCCAGCTACTTTGACTGTCAATAGGCTGTTTGAGATTAGAAAATTTTATCTTATTAATGGGACTGAAAATAATATTAAAATCAAACTTCTTCAGGATATTAGCAACTTGCCGACTTATTTTAGGAAAATAGGGTAAAATGACTAAATTGTTCGAAAATTCTTTGGCAGGTTTATCGGTAGGCGATTGTTTAGTTAAGTGTTTATAAATATTATTAATACTGTTAGGAGAATAACCTCTGTCATGAGCAATGGCTTTGATGTAATTTAATTTTGCATCAAGAAAATCAATGTTAGAACAAATATTTACCGCACGGTAGACAAAAGACCGAAATGATGCAAGTTTCGGGTTGGGAGGGTGGGAGGATTTGTAGTGAGGGGGAAGAGAAACAGCAAAAGGTTTACGAAAGACAGTAGTATGGAATGAATTATCATTCCGAGTCACAAGAACATCTAAGAAAGGAAGTTTTTGATCAGTCTCTAATTCAAAGGTGAACTGAATGCAAGAATCAATGCTGTTCAAAACATTAAGAATTTGATCTAAATTACAATTATTTTCCTCTAACAAAGCAAAACTGTCATCAACATATCTTTCATAAAAGGGGAAAGTTAAGATTTTGAATAGTTTATTCTCAAAATAATGCATATAGATGTCACTAAGTATAGGGCTCAAAGGATTTCCCATGGCAAGACCATTGGTCATACGGTAAAATCTGTTGTCAAACGCGAAAGTAGTTTGTTGTAAACAAACACGGGTGATGTTAAAATATTCATCAACCTCATAATGGGAAAAATGATATTCCGAAAATCTAAGTTTTAGGCAATCCAAAGCCCCCTCAACAGGAACATTAGTGAACAGTGATTTTACATCAAATGAGGCCATTAAATAACCATTAGGTTTTAGATTTTTAACTTCTTTAACAAACTCAAGGGAATTTTTGGTAGTGAAAGAATTATTACCAAGGAGAGGGGAGAAGACAGAAACTAAAAATTTTGCGAGTTTGTAAGACGAGGTACCAATGTTGGAGACAATTGGTCTAAAAGGAGTGCTAACTTTATGTACCTTAGGTAAAGTATAAAATCTAGCGCAATGAGAAATAGAGGGAGTCAAAACAACCTTAAGTCTATTGGGTATTAACATAGAGGATTTAATAGTTGATTTTATAACATTTAATTCTTTAGTTCTCGGATCTTTGGGAATTTCTTTATAAGGACCATCAAGAATAAGTTGTTTAGATTTTTCCAAATAGTCTGTTTTGTTTAGAAGAACAATTTGACCACCTTTGTCAGCTTTTGTAACGATTAAGTTGGAATTGGACTTTATATCTTTAAGAACTACTTTAGAGGAAAGGCTAAGGTTGGAATTAGATATTTTTCAGTTGAAGTCTGCGGTATTGGCAATAAGGTGTCTGATAGAATCTTTTTGAGCATCATTAATTTTACTGAATTTAGAAGATCTTTCGATAGGAGCAATAAGTTTAGGTAATGAAGGTAGAGTTGAAATATCGAAATTATTGTTAAGTTTTAAAGCATTAATTTGAACATTAGTAAGAGTGGTATTTGAGAGATTAACTACAGAATTTTGATTAACAACAGGCAAACTAACGTCAGGTTTTTTATCATTGACTTTGATGAGTTTATTCAACTTATTATTCAGGTTTGAACTATGTTTTGAAGAGATTTTGGTTGCCCTGTTCCAAGACGATTTTTCTATTGCGTCAAAATTTGAATTTAGATAAATTTGAATTTAGACCCTTCCCTCCTATTGGCCGTTGCTCTAACCCCCCCCCACTTGTGACGTCACCTTTCTCTATATATTTACCCTTTTTTCTCTCATTTCTTTCTGTTGCACTGATGAAGGTTGCCCTTTGAGCATCCGAAACAGCTGTCTGCATTTATAAATATTTTTTGTGCCCTTAAACGTTGTTTACCTTAGTTTGTACTGATAAACTATTTTCAATATGAATAGAGAAAAATTCTAACTCCCTCTTTTGGATTTTATGTTTTATAGTAAAAATTTAATTCCGATAAACTAACATAATTTCTTTAATATAGACTGTTTTTCTTAATTATAAAAATGCCGAAACATATTTGTGATTGTAATTTCAGCGTCAAAAATAAAACCGATAAAAAGGGCATCAATGTCTCTTCTATGTCAGAGGTTTAAACATCGCTGATGCTAATTGCATCGATTCGGATTCTGATCCAAACGAAAAAAGAAGAACTGTTCTTTTAAAGTTCTTCCAAAACTAAATTTTTTTTAAGCATCGCTGATGCTAATTGTATTGATTCGTAATTCTGATCCTAACGAGAGAAAAAAAACCCTTCTTTAAAAATTCTTCCACAACTACGTCTTTTTTTTTTTTTTTTTTTTTTTTTTTTTTTTTTTTGTAAAGAATTTTACGATTGGAGGTTAAAACTGCTATTTCCACTCGCTGTCAAAATTTCAGGATCCATGATCTGAGAATTATGGATTTATAAGAAACATATACATAGGCAAGCTCTTCATTTTATTACTAAATGTCTCTTTATTTAATGGAATTAATAATTAATTAAATTTAAAGGAATCTTAATTAATTTGATATGTGCATGACGTAAATCTGATTGAAATGGAAGATATGTTCAGCAGCGATAGATTCCGTCTTAGAAAAAGTTTAATGTTTATTTAAAATGAAGTGTTGATATAAATTATGTAAAATTAATGTTTGTATCTGTATAGCGTTCTCCTACACCATGGAGAGAGATACTCTCTTCGGTTTCTACTTACTCTTTGATGATTCCAATGTTTGGACAATACTGGATGAATTATTATCTTTTGACTGTACAGCCATTGTTTATGGATGATGGTCTCAATATACCTGTCAAAGAGGTAAAAGGAGTTGTATATTTTTATTCGTTAATTGGAATTTAAGTATCAAAAATGTTAAGGAGCAATTAATATATGAGAGTATAATGATTTGGTGAATGATGTATGATATTCTCCAATGGAAAGATGCAGGGCATAAAAAGTTTTTCTTTTTTTTTCAGATCAGCATTTTATTAAATTTAAATGTAAATATATAAATTATAAGTAAAGTTATATAGTTAAAATAGTTTAGTTATACAGTTAAAGTAAGAATAGTTTGAAAATAAGTTTTCAGAAAGCGTAGTGTCTTAAGCAAAATAAAAATAATTTAATTCACAATTTCATTCCTCTTTAGAAAAAGTACAAAAGTTTTGAAAGGATTATGTAAGTTTTGACTAAATAAATATATACCGCAGAACCCTTACATTATGACCACCCTCCATCTATAACAATGGGCTCGCCCAGGTTTTCATGATTTCTTGCTCAGGAACAGTGTTTTCAAGGGGCATATTAGGACCCATAATCCTCATAGAACAATTCCTGACGTCTGTAAGCTACTTGAACATAGTTGCAGATCCATTCATGGTTCACCCACTCATGGCAACAGTTTTTCCTGCGGGGGATGGTTTTTGCCAACAGGATAATGCACCATGTCATAAGGATCGAATCGTCGAGGAACATTCCAGTGACTTTCAAGTCATGTCTTGGCCCCCAAATTCACCTGACCAATCCAATAGAGCATTTGTGGTCCTACTTGTAAAACCAAATTCGTGCTGCCACGGTACCCTCTCGCAATGTGAGGAATTGCAGGACCAGTTGGTGAGTGCTTGGTACCAGATACCTCAGACTACATATCAGCACCTTGTGGATTCAATGCCACGGCGGGTGCTAGCAGTTTGGAGGGCTAAAGATGGTCCTATATGTTATTAGCAGGGTGGTCATAATGTAATGGCTCTTCGGTGTATATTCCAAGGCATTAGGTAATGAGTCATTTCAATTAAATATAGAGTAGAAGCAGCAAAAATGAATAAAAAAATTATTTAAAAAAAAAAACTTTTTTTGCTCATCTGAAAAAAAATCTAAATGTGAGAGCAAAGTGGCTTCTCTAAGATCTGGCATATTTAAGCGATACTTTTTCAATCAGAAAAGTTATTAAAATATGCAATAGCAAATATAACAGACTCAGACTTTTTGTAGCTCTATTTTTTATTAATATTTTGCATTTATTTTAATATTGTTATTTTTTGAAAATAGTTAAAATTGGCAGAAGTTTGTGTGTTTTTTCACACAAATGCAAGAATTTTTTTCTCCATTTTATCTAAACAATCCCATCGTCCTTATCGTTCACTTTAATCAACATCAATAATCGTTTCTTTAGGCTCATGAAAAGTTTTCAGTGTCCTGTACTCTCCAATTTGTTATCCTGGACTATTAAAATACGATGCTCTCATTCACGCATACTCGGCAGCGCAAAAAAGCTGCTTAGTACAAAAAGAGTCTAGTATTTCCCGTCTATTAGGATAGATGAAAAAACCGGATAAACTAATTAAGCCACATTCCACAGTTCATTTGATAAAACACTACTCAACTACAACCTAACTCCATGCCCAATACGAATAAAAAATACAGTAAAATATACAGTTAAATTTTTTATTACTGTTTTGAAACTATGCTAGTTGTAAATGGTTAAAAAACCATATAGTTTCATATTCATAGTTTTACTAGTTTTAAACAATTTCAGAACCGTAAGGGTAAAAAATGTCCTTTAGCGTAGTTATAGAATGAAGTTGGAAGATTTTCATGTTCTTTATAATCAAATTCTCCCCAATTACGACTATTCTTACTAAATGAAGTTGTGCTTGTTTGCTGTCACTTTCTTTAACATGATAATAAACTATACCATTGTTGATAATCGGAACTTCACTAATGATATAAACAATATTAAGAGGTTAAGTTTAGTATAGTTCAAACATAGTAAAAATCTTCAAAATTTTAAATTATTTTAAACAAGAAAGATATCTTAAATTTGGGACAAAGAAGTAAACATAACAATACATTTTTAAAATGAGAAAATAAGTTGCATACGTCAAAATAATTTTATGTTATTTTATTAAGGGTTTTTAAACTGTCCTAAGAGGATAAGGATTCTTATGTAATTTTTTTTTTTAGATTTTATAAGTTGAACACTTTTTGCTTGGGAAATTAAATACTGAACAATTTTGCAGTGTGTTAACGTACAAATTATTATCATTTTTAGAATGGGCTTTTCACCTCAGCACCTCAAGTTGTGCAGGCTATTGCAAGTCTGACTGCATGTTGGTTTTCTCTCTGGATTAATAAAAATGATACTTCAAAAATAAATCTCGCTAGAAAAGGATGCAATTCACTTGGTAAGTTTAAATAAGGGATTAGTGCAAATGTTTTATCCAGTTTAAAGGACATTCGGACCCTTTAATGTTAATTTCAATTTTTATATTTTAAGTCATATCTTTGTAACTAATTAAGAAAATCAAATAAAATTTCTCCCACTCATAAAACTCATATACCCAAAGATAATTTCATGAAAATTTAATTTTTAATAATTATTCATTACTTAATTTAATTGTGAATGAAAAAATTTTGAATTATGACGTATAAATTTTTTATACCATATTAATCTACGTATTTTCCTATTGCAAAATCTAAAGTTTCAACAGTTCTCATTTGGTGGAAGCCGACAAAAACTAGAATGAATTATTTTTAAGAAAATAATTTGGTAATAGTGAAGAAATATTTAAATTCAAAACAATAATTCAAATCCATATAACAACTTTAAAAAAAAAATTACATCTTTTTAGTAAATACTAAGTCATTGAAATAAATTTGAATTCAAATAAATGACATGTAATTCGTTAAACCTATTAGAAATGTGCTATAATATAATTCATGATATAAATCAAAAATCGTCAAATGAATTGGTAATATATAAATTCGTGAAAAAAAGCACTTTCCACAAAATACTAAAATACTATCGACAAAGACTACTCACTTCTGCCTAGCTTAATAGTATGAGATTGCCACAGCTGATAGGGTGAATTTCAGAAGAGATCACATTTGGTGAAAAATGCTCTCTCTGGTTATTTCAGTTTCCGTTTTTTAAAGCGCTATATGTTGAGCCACCTCAGCTAGATTTGGCATGTGAAATTTTTAGCTGCAATCATTGGTCGATCTTTTATCGTTGCCATTCGGGGAGTTGTAATGAGGTTTTTTTTGTCGCCGTGTAAGAGAAATATATGTATAGATTTTGTCTCTAAAAACCTTTTACCTTTTTTTAAATTATAAAATACGATGCTTCCTTTTTAGTCGCCTAAAAATCCATTCCTAATTTAAAAAAGAGATTTGAATAAAACATTTTACATATAAATATAAGTCATGCATATAAATTTTATTGTGACCCAATTTAAGACCTAATTTTTTCGAAATTTTGTCTGCAACCTATTTCAAGGGTCAAGGTTCCAAATATGTTTATTCAGATAAAGTACGTTTTTTAGTCTGATTTCGTAACTTAATTAACAGTTAATTAGGATATTTGAAGTCACCCCCAGGAACCATTAAGATTTACACTTAATTCATGAAAGTCCTATCATTAGAACGAGAGTTATTCAAGGTGATATTTTTTTTTTTGCCGACTGTACATACCTTAACGATTTTTTATTTAGAAAACATGTGAGTAGCAAAATGTTACTGTTAATGCTGCCAGCGAAAAATGTTGCCGTATTGCTCAAGTTTAATTCCACAAAAAAGAAGTGCATAAAAATATTATTACTTCTAGTGTTATGATAATGATTTGTTTTTTATTTTAGCTGTAATATTGTTTATATTTGGACTTGGAGGTATGTATATGTCAGGATGTGATATTATGTGGAATATTGTCTTCCTGTTCTTTTGTAATGCAGGTCTAGGTTTTACTTTTGGAGGATGTCTAATAGTTGCTGTTGACATGACGCCTACATATTGTGGTGAGTGTAACAAAAAGTTTTAATTTATTTTTTATTCTTTGTTTTTTCTTTAAAAGCCAATATTTTTCTTGATTTATTTGTTATCTTGAATTGCTTTTCAATAAGTATGTTGCATAATTGAATTTTTCTGTAATAAGTAAATACACTGCTACAGTTTTCTTTCTAAAATTACGGTAAAATAACCAACAACAGTTTGTTCATCCAATTAACCACAAATTTTACGATAAAGAGCAATTTTTACTTTTACGGTTTGAAACCGTTTACCAATCGTACGGTTATAAAACCGTGAATATAAAAATACGCCGTTTTTTAACCATTTACATCCAGCCTAGTCTTAAAACCATAAAAAAAGAAATTTATCTGCACATTGGAGCTAAACTTAGCATAATTGAATTGTTCTGTAATAAGTAAATACACTGCTACACTTTTCTTTCTAAAATTACGGTAAAATAACCAACAACAGTTTGTTCATAAAATTAACCGTAAATTTTACGATAAAGAGCATTTTTTACTTTTACGGTTCGTAACCGTTTACCGATCGTATGGTTATAAAACCATGAATATAAAATATGTGGTTTTTTTTTAACCATTTACAACCAGTATAGTCTTACAATCATAAAAAAGAAATTTAACTGCACATTGGAGCTAAGCTTTTCGTTACTTAAAGGGCATTGTAAAGTGCTTTTCATGTTTTGAAGGGAATGAGGTGTAATAATGTCGTCAACTGGAATTCTTGTTTTTTCGGTCATGAGACTGACAGATTAGCCCTCTCGGCTATAATATGTACGCAGTTACAAGGATCTCGTTAAAATTCTAGTTATTTAACCGTATTATGGGAAAACAGTTAATAAACGGTCTTTCTATCAATTAATAGTTTGAATACCATCTTATTTATGATTATTTGACTATTTTGTTTGAATATGGTAAAATAACAATTAAATAAATTGTTATTTAAAAAAAATTTTCCCCCAGAAATTTCTAACAGTGTCGTTCAAAACCTTTACTATTATTATTTATTAATTTTTGTTAGTTTTATGCATAATTCTTTCTTTTTTAAAAGATTCCTAAATCACTGAAAATTTGAGAGCTAAAATATATAATTGTTAACGACTTAACTCGAAAAAATTCGTAAGAACTTAATCGCTTTTATTTTTATAATAACTTTCTGGCTTCACAACACATAAAAAAATCGTATTATCACCTGCTGTATTCTCTGTAGAGAGATTAAATTAGTTCTTTGTTAATTAGATAAGGAAACGGACAAAGAGAAAAAAAACAATAAAAATTTTAAATGCTGTAAAATTGCCATCTTAAAAGATGCTTTAATCTACTTTCAATCAGAAATCAAAAAAGGACTTTAAAACAGCTTGGTTTTCAGAGAACATTTCCAACACTTTATATATTTATTCGCTAAACTTCTTTACGAATTATATTTGAAGTGCTTAATTAGTACTTATATCTTTATTCAGAGGACACTATAATCATCAGTCTTAAAATGTAAATCTCAAACCTTTGTTCAAAATCAGGCCAATTAAACATGCAAATTCAGATAGAAAATGAATAATTATCAGAGAAAATAATTAAATAGTTAAAAGCACATTAGGAAAATCAAAAGAATAATTATCGTTATCAACAATATCAGGGCAATCACATCATGTTTTATTTAAATTTTGCATTAACTTTGACTGCTGTTATTAATGTCAATAATGATAATGTATTGATATAATAACATAGTTATTCATTTTTCTAACTAAACTATTAATTTAAATACCTTCATATGTGAGCGTCGGTGATGACTTTATTTCGGACAAGTATTTTTTAAGTAAGGCAAAAGTTACTGCACACTGGTGTGCTTTGAACACTAACACAAAAACTTATTGATACAAAAGGCAGTTAATTTCGCAGAATACATCCAAGTTACATTCACTGTTGATTGGATAGATTTTTTGAAATCTAAATTCATACTTGATGATTTATAAATTTTATGCCCTTTTAGGTCCTTTCATGGGATTCCTTAGCACAATAGCTAGCTTATCCGGATTTATATTGCCTATTCTGACTGGACAATTAACAAAATATGAAGTGAGTTTTATATTACAATATATTATTTTATATATAAAATTTTTTATGGTGCATATATCTCAATTTATATGCATTAGATGTTTAAAGGGAATAAAGTAGGGGCAGGCTAGTTCGTTGTTATCAAGTGGGCCGAACTGTCTTACTGCTCGTAAAATCTTACTTCTCGTAGAGGAATTGAAAAAAAAAAAAATTAAGCATGATATTATCAAAGATCGCAAATAAAACGAGATATATCGATACGAATTCCGCATCCGGCTTGCACCGACCACAGTGCTGACGTGAAATATCCTCAGTGGTAGACGGATCAGGGGTTAGAGTCCCCTTGCAGCGACGCTAACAGGAGGGGGGGGGGGTTCTCCTGGTCTTCCTCTTCATGCAACGCAAATGCGGGTTAGCTTCATCAAAAAGTTCTCCACGAAAACAGATTTCTCTCAATACTCGAACCAGGAGTTCTCTTGTCTTCTGGATTGGGTTCAAAATTACAAGGCTATAGAGTTGAACATTAGTAGTCGTAAACCCAGGAAATTGGGTCGGCTGTACAACGACGGTTGTAAAAAATAAAATAAAATAGAAAGAGAGAAATTTATTTTAATTTCCTAGGAGAGAGTTTAGAAAATCGCTAAGGGGAACGAAATATTTTGAATCTCAATTTGGAATTGAAATACATTTTTTTTTACCCTTGGTAGATAGATCGAAACTGAATATCCATGTCTGGCTGGCACGTGCCGTCCAGGATATTATAAAATTTTTATTATAAAACACAAAAATTAGCAGACATTGAATTTGGTAAAAGGCCATTAAATTTTTTTTTCTTAAGTCAAACATTTTCAACTCTGTTGATGACAATATGACAATAATCAATTAAAGCAGATATCGATACGGAAAGTAAAGATTACAATTAGCATAAACATTTTTCTTAAAAGTGAATACACTGAAACAACAATTATTTACAGAATCGCATTGTGGATCACACATGTTCTTTTGTACCTTAAAATTGTTTTTGTTTGTTTTATTCTTGTTTATCTCCAAATCGCTTTACTTGTTTGGTTTGAATACATCGCTCGATAAAATTAACAGTGGGGATACAAATGTACCGTCCAAGATTTGCGTTTTATTTTCAACTGCAGTTATTTTAATTGATTTAAATATTATTATTATAACAACGAAAGTATTTTTAAGTGATTATTATTTTTAATGCATATATAATTTCAGCAAACACTGGCGCAATGGCATAAATTGTTTCTGATAACTATGATTATTGCAACATTGGACGGTGTGGTGTTTCTTCTATGGGGTTCAGCGGAGATTCAATCTTATGACCCAGCTTACCAGAAAGAAAAATCATCAGAAATTACTTCTACGCATTTATGACTACATCAAAGGATTTAAAGAATACTGATTTGGTTAAAAACATTTTAAAATAATTCCAAAAGAGAGTTTTAAAACAATTTAATTCATCAGAAGTACCACAACTTGTATGTTTGTAATATTTCTTTTAAGCATTCAAATTCCACAAAGATTCAACCTTGTAATCCAGTTTATAAAAAAGAAAGAACATTCTCATCTCAAAGTGAAATGAATATAGCATAATTTGGCTCATGTCATTTTTGACAACATTAAAGGATTTAAAGATTTCTAGATTAAATTATACTAGTTATTCAATATTTTTATACGAAAGAGAGTTCTAAGCAATGTATTGCTCAAGTTTATTTGCTGTGGTTTTAAAAATTGTATCATAAGTAATTATATTTTTATTGATTATTTTGTTTTACATTTTACACAATAAACTATATTTATGCCTTTTTCAATTCCTACTATTAGTTCACAATCTCCCTATATATATTTATATATCTTGTTCAAAATTTCAATCCTTAAATTCAAATACATTTTTTAAACTTGTAGTGGATGTTACTTGATTAATATAGTTTTTTCGAATATTAATTCATTAATTAAATTTAACTTATTAATTTTAGTTTTATATGGGAGGAAAAATTTCTCTTATGTAAGATATTTGGAAAGTTATAAATTTAGTAATAAATACCGTCAGTGGCGAAGCGTGTAGATCGTTGTAAGAAAATTTTTTTTTCAGATTCTTTTTAAATAAATACGTAATAACAAACAAAAATAATAGTTCAGCACCGTATATAGAAAGGAAAATGGAAAATTGCAAGGAAGTTACCTTTCTATCTTGCCACTTAATATTGTGATTCTGTCATATGCATATGTATATTTATATTAATTGTAGGTATTTAATAAAAAGTAACTAAAATAAAAATTTTCTTTGCTGACATAAGTAGAAATTGACAGTAAATTTTTGTTGATATTACTTGCTATTGTTTGACTTTTGTGTTCTCAGAAATGATGGTTTTATTTAAAGTGGACGAAGAAAAACAAGAAGACAATAAAAAATTTAAAATAATTGTCTCCATCTTATTTTCAAATATTAAAGTATGAAATGAACCTAAAGAATATGAAAGAAATGATAATTTTCAAATAAAAAAGAAAAAATTAATATTAATTTTGTAATGCTTTGAAATATTTTTTTTTCATTCTGTAACTGATGATGTTATTTGTGGTAGTACTTAAGCAGCTTTGCATAGTAACACAAGCAGACAGGTTTGCAGTACTTGTTCCTATCTTATTAACATTATTAAAATCAAAAACAATCTTAAGGTTAATTAGGTCCCCGATCCCCCCAAATATGGGTATGCGGGAAAAATTTTCAACTTGTCGCCGTGACAGTCCCCGGACAGCCGGAGGTGGACAGAGAGTATCTGGCACACGTACCGTCCGAGAGTCCCGGCGAAGCCCCTCCGTAGCATTTATTTAAAAACAAGAAAAAAACATAGTACTATTTTGGCAACAGCCCGGAGGTAATCGGGCAAAAATACAAAAGTAACAAATTTACCTCAAGAATTAAACGTTTTACATGTATAATAGTAGCGATTATTCCGACTATTAACTAACAGGAGAAGTTAAACATCTAGATTGATGTTTACAATAAAATATATGAAAAATTCCAGAAAATTTTTTTTTAATTAAAGTTCATAAATTGGCCAATGGACCCTTAAAAATATTTGAAATTTAATAAAATTTACGATATCTACCCAGAATTTACCATGCGAGAGCTGTCAAAATACAATGGAATTTGTACAAACTTCGTGAAAAATATATATTTTTTTAAATATTTTAAAAACAATCGTAAATATGATTGTAAATTGAGTTTATAATTAAATAAGAAACAATCGTAAATATGATTTAATTATAAACTCAATTTACAAAAGTTATAAAAATGCATGTTATTCGCTTATCCGAAATTCTATTTCCCTTGGAACAGTATTTAAAATTATCGATGCATCATTCTCAGTTGAAAGTTTTTTTGGAGTGAATTTGAAAATAGATTGATGCTAACGATAAACAAATTCACCAACTTTCACTTGAGAAACAGGCGTCATTATTCAAATGAAAAAAAGCTATCTTCTGATTTGTTAGTATTATCCGTGACGGTTTCGATGAGAGGTTATGTAATGAATATATTTCAATTGCAGATTTTTCCTGAGCATTCCTGAGTAAAAAATCCATTTAAAATTGACGCCATATTTACGCCGATAGTTATTTTTCTTTTTTGCTCCCGATTTTGGGTGCAATTGTTTTCGTACCCGCGACATTAAAAAAGAAAAAGGGTATACTTATTAGAGAAAAAAAATTATATTGCTTACATTTTCTTGGTGTAATACTATTTAATTCCCACAAACTGGATGTTAAATATGAAGAACGAAGGTAAGTAAAATATTTTAATTAACTTCTGAAGCCCATTTAAATTATTTATATATTTTGTGAAACATTTAAATAATTAATACCAATTATTTAAATATTTCAAAAAAGTTTAATTTAATATTTAAATAATTTATTTATATAATAAGTGAAAGTACTGAAATTTAATTATAGAAATAATAATATTTCCACTTTATTGCCCCCTTTGATTATATTATTATTCATAACTACTTATTTCCTGAAAAAATTCTTCATTCGAAAAAAAAAATTCTATTGAACAAAACAGAAAATAGATATGTTAAAAATTATTAAAATAAACACATGTTCATCACCAAATCCTGTCTGGCTGTCTAAGAAGATAAATTCAAAATATCTTCTTATAAAAGTAAACAAATTTCAATTCCACAATAAAGTCTAATCTCAATTTTATTTATACGATGTTCAAAACAACAAATTAAATATAAAAAAATGCAAAAACAAGTGTGAAAAATAACCTAAAAATGATTTTTTTAAAAAAAGATTAAGTTATCTTAGGGTAAGCAATATTGCACGGTAAAAACTAGAATCTGAACCGACAGTTTTAATCCGTTTATGAATAGGGTGAACAACAGAGAAAAACTATTTGGTGAAGAAAAAAAAATTGAACCGGAAAATATGCGGAAAAAGTCTATATATATAAAAAAAAGAACAGAAACACAGGAATTTTTTACATTTCACGGGTAACGATTGAAAACAGAAAGAATCTCTGTTTTGTTTGCTGTATATATTTTTTTTCTATAGAATTTACAATCATTTTTTACAGTGTATATGAAATTTCAATAATTATATGTTTTTTTTAACAAAATTACCACTTTATTTTTTAAAAAAAATATCGGCTTTAAAGGAAAAATAACGACTATTTAGAATTAAGAATTAATTATGGGGCTTGATGTAGAATGATGGACCTGAACTGTACCCGGTCCTAAAAACGAATTTGGCCCCGCAACATAATCACAGCCCTTTAAAAACCTTTTTAAGAATCTATATCAGAAAGAAAGTTAATAAAATAATGCAGCATGGGGTGAAAAGTAATACTAAAGCAAGGAAAGAACAAAAACGATTTTTTCACTTCCTCTCAGTTTCCGCCACAAACGAAAATGTTTTCATAATGATTGGTTGATTTGGATAACCTTTTCCTTTTTTTTCTTCTTTTTGCTAAAATATGCCTATTTTTAACTTCAATTGTTGTGAAGATTATAAAAATGTTCCTGATAAATGATTGCAGAAAACCCTGCATAATGTTAAAAATTGTAATTCATAATATTCTAAAAGCGCATAAGTGACACATGATATTTTAAAAATATTTTTAGAACTTATGTTTACATTTTAACTATTAAATACATAAAAATTGGGATGAGGCATTTTTTTATCGTTTGTAAAAGTAATATTCTAAAATTCACTATCAAATTCATATTTTGTTATTATATTTAAATGTCTCAAGAATTAATTTTGATACAATGCTACTAAAAAATTTAATTCTCTCGTGCTTTTTTTTTTTTTTTTTTTTTTTTTTTTTTTTTTTTTGAAAAAGTGTTACTTATAAAATATATGCACTTTGACTAAAATAGATTACAATTCGTAACTTATTGTGTAGTTTTACCCTTATTGCATATTTACTGTTGATTACAAATCAAAAAGGGAATTGTCCATAAACCATTTAAAGTTATGTTGAAATTTTACGAAAAAATAAATAAATAAATAAATAAATAAAATAATACAAAGAATGAGAATAAATAAATCGTATAATTATAGAGACACGGTACGTTTGGTAGCGCAAGCTATAGTCTTTGTTTTCTTCTTTTTACTGTTGACCAAAATATCATGGTGTTTTCTTCAAGCATTTGAAACTTCTTTCTCAACTTTTTTGCTTCTTCGTGTGCAAACTTATCTGATTTAGAACATGCAACGCTTGAAAATTACTCTCAACTTAACATGACTCAGGTCTAGTTCCCAATCCCAGTTGTGAATTTAATGTATTAAAAAAATATTTGTATTGAAAAATGATGACAATGAATTGTTTCCATAAAGACGAAGATCTTATGCAATATAAAATAATAGCTCCACATCTAATAAAATCAACTAAAAATAAAACTAATGTTTTCAAATATAACAAAATCCGACCAATAACAACACTATGTTTTAAAAAATAATTAAATTCGAGCAGTAAAAGTTTGATGCAACTTACAGCTAAGTATACACGCGAAAGTTAAAGGAGTTATAAGAAAAAAGAAGATAAGAAAAACAAATGTACTAGATTCAATAACGAAGCTCATGATCGTTTCTCTCATAGAACTCGCGAGCTTCTGCATGGTCTTACAGGGAGCTTAACCGTGACAAAAAGCTTTGGAAATTACAAGCGAATGCTGCTTGTAGTAACTTATCAACTGGCGAGCTACTCAGCTGACAGATTACCTCACATCTCACATCGACGATCTGCAGCGAACTGAAGGGCGATAAACCTGACAGTTTGGATAACCCGTCGAGTTTCCAGGAAGATGACAGGTATGATTGAGAACCACTAGTGCTTCAAGATGGAAGTTGTGACGGTACCTTCTAGAAGAGCGAAATCCTCAACATGGGTTACCATAAACAAGAAATTTGAGCCTTTAGTAGTTAAAACGAAATGACATGTTTCTTATTATTGGACTACAGTTTATGGACGTCGGACTACTAATTTGTTATGTGCTGAGGCCTTCACTCTTCTAGGGTGCGTAGTATACGGGGACTACGTAGACCACTAGGACGAATATGCCCTAACAATATGATTAATATAGTAGGATTAATATAAATACGAAGATCAAAAATGATTACAAAAATGCACCCGT